AAAAAAGACTATATACACTATACTTTTGTGTAAAGGAGTCCCTGAGATATGCAGATGGTAATACAGTCAACTGTTAACAAAAAAGGTTGATAGTTCGAGTCCACTCTTTGGTATTTCCAAAGAAAATCCAGGTGATCAAGTTCCCTAAGTTTATTGTTGTTTGGTAGAGTCTTTGAAAATCCTATAGAGTACAGTTCTATTCTAACACACACACACACACACACACAGAGAGAGAGAGAGAGAGAGAGAGAGAGAGCAAGAGTAGGAACGGACTGAATGGCAATGAGTTTATCCTTTGGAAGAACCCCCCTGTGGTGTAAATGGTTCACATGGTTGGTCGATAACCCAAAGTTTGAGGGTTCAGATCTACCCACAGGTACCACAAACAGAAGAACTGATGATCTACTTCCCGAAGGATTCGCCAGGGAAAATTCTATGTAGCCCAATACTACTCTGACATTTATGGGTTTCCATGAATTGAAGATGAATCAGAAGCAACAGGTCATTTCTAGCTTTTTCCACATTGGCATGATGAGGATTTTACATGAATGATTTGAGGGAATTAACCCTCTCAGCCTCCCAAGTTCTGCAGAAAGGAAATGAGTCAACTTTAGGTTTCCTAATTTAGTGTATAGATATCATCCCTTTGAATTCCCCCTGCCTCTAATTTCATGTTACCATTGTATTTTTTATGTACCTTCAAGTCAGAATAAACTCATAACTGATATTCCAGCAGGTTTTCAGAAGCTGTAAATCACACCAGAGGGGAGTGCCCATCTTTCCCATAGAGCAGGTGGTAGATTTGAACTTCTCACCTTTGGGTTGGCAATGCAACTCCTTACTACTTGGCCACCAGAGCTTCTTTCTAATCTCATAAGCACATGTACAGGATCACGACTCAAGATTCTATGAGTGGAAGGTATCATCTATATAAGCAGTCTAGGAAAGCCTTTCTCTGGAAAGTCTATGTATGCATTAGAAATACATATCTTTAATCCCTTTCCTAAAAGCTCTGGTTGTAAAACCTCTGCTGTAGCCCTCAGGGGCTGGCAGACCACAAGGCAGTACCTATTCTTCTGAAGAAATCTTTGGCTGGCGAAAGTTCTCTTTTACATGGAACTAATAAATGCCTCCTCATGCTACCTGCTACTCAGTAATTTGAGTTCTGTCTTTACAAACTCAGATCAAATCTTATATTTCTTCAACCTGACACCATTAGGTAATCATTGCCTCCAGAATGCTTTCTAGCTTGAACAACCTTAAATCCTGCAACAATTTTACATACTGTGGGATTCGATACCCTCTCACTTGTTCCGCCCGCATTCTGTGAACTTCTAATATAATTAGCTCAGTTAACAAGGCATCTGGTTAACTGGTCTACATATAACTATCAGATTTAGGTTTAAAAAATTCATGTTAACTTATAAATAATAACAATAAAACAAAACTTAATAGAAACCATTTGATCAGTGAGAGGTATGATGTTTGTTGGAATCTTCATCAAGATAGCACTATATGACTCCACATCAGCTTCCTTTCTTGATAATAATTTCTCCCAACTTAGAAAGCCCTCACATGTAATGACAAGTCTCTGAAAATGGCAATAAGAATTTTCAAGTTATTTCTGATAGGTTATAACAAGCATAATGCTTCATATAAACATATGCACTAGGCATTATTCTTGGGGCTTTATATATATGAAGTTATTTACCATAACTCTGTAAGTTAGATACTGCTGTTACTGTACATTACCGATCAGAAAAATAAGTCACAAAGTTGTTAAGTGACTTCAAATTTAGGCAATCTAGCTTTGGCATGTCTGCGCTTAGCCACTATGCTAACTCTTCTCTTGTTTGTGCATCAAGGTTGAATACAGCTCTAAAATCATGGAGTGATTTCTCGCTGAAGACTGCCTTTCAGCACTCCATCATGCTGGATTGACAGCCACTTCACACTCACATATGAAAAGGCTAAATGTTTCAATTTGGAAGAAAAAAAGGCAAATATATTTCTAATCATTTCTAGTCATATTGCCTCTGGAAAGTATTCCTTCATATTCTGTTTCGGGAGTTGATAAGTCTTTTAAATAAGACTCAAATTGTACATTTTTAATATCTTTCTTTAAGAAGTAAGAGATACCAAGTGTTGGACAAATCAAGTGCTCCTGGAAACAAATCAGTCTCTACTGTAGCTAATATCACTATAAAGTTCTTATATTCTCAGTCATTC